GTAAGAAAAGAGATCCAAAACTAATGACAAATATTTTGGTGGAATCGATGCAATCCTTGAGTTGATTGCCATTTGTGTGGCTCTTGTCTTCCGTGTCCTGCGATGGACTCAATGCGTGAGTTTGGGTGACGTCTTCGCTCGTATCGCTGTTTGTCTTCATTGGAGTGCATCTCAAGAACCCATAGTCTGTCTCATTGTCTGACAGTTCCTCCAAAGGTCTCACAGTTTGGTTACAGTGAGAGTCACTCACAAACACTGTTATGCTTTGTGTGGGTTGAGTGGAGTCTCACTTTTGAATGTAACTTGAGCAGTTTGAGCAATAGTGCAGTCACTACGTATGCATACATACTGTATGTCCTATAATGACCTGACCTGACCTTCAAAAGTCTTGAATGAAGACCTTTATGACCCTGTATGAACATTGAATACTATGTCTTTTCAATGAATACCTTTGATCCCAACCCCTCTTACAGTATGTCTGAGATTTATAATAACACCGGAAATAATGGTAAAGTGGGATTACCAAGGTGCAATATTCTGCGGGCACATTGGTAACCATTCATTTAGCACTATTAGACACTTATTTGGCATTTCAAACATTCATAGACACATTCATTAAGATCTCAGTGACCCATCATTCAATGAAATCTACTTTTAATTACTTATCAATCAATTGTATTCTGATTAAAGAGTTGTTAATAACTGATTGGATTGATATTGATTTGAGTGAATCCAGTGAGTGATGATCTCAAAGACAAAGGATAAGAGAACAGAGAAGAGTTCATTCACATAATGCTTACCATTGAAGACATGGATAACTCAAGATTATAATCATTCGTTAATTTAATTTAGTATTTAAGTTAGGTCTCAATTGTGGATCTTTCATATTTATATAATTATTTTGTATTACATTTAATTGCTTGCAAACAAATTAGAAAGCTAATTCTAATGTTCAATAAATTCGTTGAACAAAACTCACCTTTTAAATTATTAAAAACCTAAATAAATAACAAATAGAATAATATTTTTTGATTGAGATAAAATTTATATTCATTTCAAATAAAATCAATACCAATATGAATATTCTTAATATGATTTATTTACAAATGCTTGTCTTTTCGTGTCCTGAATATTGATATAACGATAGTTTAAAGTTTAAAATCAGTTTGAATTCATGGAATCACTTATGGCCTAATGTTGGCTACTAACCGACGTCCACAACACAAGCAACACCTTTTAAATTATTAAAAACCTAAATAAATAACAAATAGAATAATATTTTTTGATTGAGATAAAATTTATATTCATTTCAAATAAAATCAATACCAATATGAATATTCTTAATATGATTTATTTATTATATCAAATTTATATCAATTCATTACTATTTCGAATGTTATTTAAAAATCAAATTTATTAAAATAAATAGTAATTTTTAATCATATGTTTTGTGCAAAAATGTGTTCAATAAAAACTAAATATACTTTAGAGCTCTAAACAACAAGTTTTTATGAGTTGCATATTTGGTAGACACGAGTGTTTAAAAATCAAGAATTTCTTTTCGTGTCGTTTGAATATAATTCTTAAATATTTAATAAATTAAACCAAAAGCTGCACAATATTTGCACAACAATTAGAAATATTAGATAATTATCTTATATTGAAATAATAATAGAGTAGTGTTGTAGAGTGGAAATGGAGGTAAGGGATGTGGAATGAATTAAATCACATCAGTTGTCATTCCTTTATTAGTATTGCAATTAATAAGATAAGTGAGGGTTTCGTTGTTGCGGTGATGGTATGCGGCCAAATGCAAGGGATGCCACCCGTCGTGGTTTGACAGGTTAGGGTTCGCACCGTTACGCACCAGTTGCTTACACCACGACACGTCCCGACCTATCCGTCCATTGCCGACAAAATACAATATATCATTAATATTCATATTTCTCTTATTCATTATTTTTTATATACAAATGACATTCAGTCTCTCTCTCTCTCTCTCTCACTCACTCACTCTCTCTCTCTCTCTCTCTCTCTCGACACTCACTCATTCACTGAACATTGAGCTTTCATATATAATTAGCATTGTACTGTACAAATAAATAAACTAATAAAAATATTTGCTTAGTTTATAACTAAATACAAGTTAGTATCGAATACCACGACTATTATGAAACAATTTAATACATTTATCTAAACCTGATAGTAAGAAATGTATACAAGGAATGTTTTTTTGGTTACATGGAGGTTGAAGGTTATTTGGTTATTAACTATTATAATACTGTATAATAATTACTTTATATCAAAAACATTGAAATATAAATCTTAAAATGTATCCAGTTTAATAAGACAATGAATATTGTAATTTGAATAAGGATTTCAATATTTTCTATAATAGCAAACATTGAAGGCTATGGAGTACTATGGATATGGCTATGGATACTGTGACAAAACTGATAGACAATAGCATTGGGGCTCAAAGTTGACGTGAAATTCATGGAAGTGCTGAAAATGAGAAGACTATTACTAGTATTGGTATGAATTGATACCTAATAGGAGACAATAGTGAAGAGCCGTCTGTCCGTTAATAAAAACATTGAGATCGGGTTTGGATCTCAAGATTATGACCAACTGTTCGAAGTCATCGCTTTTAATCACAGATAGGATTTGTTTGGCGATCGTTGTCTTATGGCTGGCATTACTGTTATCACTATTAATATGATTACTATTATTATTAATAGTATGATTACTAATGTTTTTATTGCTGTTATTGTTTGTATCACATGAAAAGCAATCGCGACTTTGGTATTTATAGTTATCGTTGCTTTCGAGCACTTCTTGCGCCACTTTCATCGCTAACTGACTCTTGCGATGAATTGGTCCACACTTGCCATTCACGCCATTCACGCCATTGGCCACCGAAGCCATCGGTGAGACACTTGCGGACGAAGACAGAGTGCGTGACAAAGAAGGCGACAAAGCGGGAGATACAGAGACAGGCATTTGGATTGAGATTGGCTTTGGGATTGGGATTGCCATTGGGACAGGCGGTTGGTTCTCCAACTCCTGTATGTGTGAGGTTAGAGTGGTTGGTGTGGTTGGAGTGGTTGGAGGGCTTGTTTCAAGGCTAGGCTCCCGGTCTGGTGACTCGTATTGCTTGTACTGATCCGGCATTTCCAACGATATTTAGACAATTATTTTTCAATACAATTTATATTTATTACAACACTTGTCTGATTGAAACCACAATTGCCGTCAAATGTCAAAAGCACTGAATTCAACAACTTTTCAAAAAGTATATAATTATTGTGAAAGTATTGCCATTCCTTTGATGTATAGTTGAGTTGAGTTGAGTGTTCTGTCTATCGATTGATCCAAATATTGTTCAAAACACCAAATCCTTGATGTGTTTTATCTCATACTCTCATACTTTTGATAATATTAAAAACACAAACTTTTCTAAGTTTTTAGTTTAAAAACTTGCGATTACTTGAACTGTTGGTGAGATTTAAAGTGAGGAACGGGAGAGAGTGTAGTGACTACAGTGTATGTCATGTATGTATGACATAGTAATACAGAGTCTTCTCAACGTAGACAACAAACCAACGGTTGGTTTAGGTCTCGATCCACACATTATCGCATAGTTTGGTATACTATATATGCATATATATAGCGTATATGAGCCACAAGTAGTCCGACCCCTGTTTGCCGCCGATCCCACTTTGATCCCACTTTGAGGCGCGGATAGCATTGTCTGCCCCCCTCTCCCCTGTCAGCCCCCTCTCCCCTCTCAGCCCTATTCTAAATGCTTAATGTATTGAGGAGTTGGCACATCATAGCCATCATAGCACTGATAGCCAGCCCCAGACTCCACCCAAACGCACGTTTGTGTTGTTTGTTGTGTTGAGAGTGTCTCTGAATTGTTAGATATCGTGGGAAACAAATTCTTGTGATTCGCTTCTATGGGAAATGGGAAAACCTAATTGTTTTCTCATAGGAATAGCCATAGAATTAGGCAAAAGTAAAGAGAAGACAATCTTTCAATTAATTATCCAAAAATTCGTTTTAATTTCTGTTTTAAACAATTTTTGCAAACTTTTCATTTGGATACACTTTTTTCAATTTCGCTCAATATCTGATAGAAATGCATCACTAGTTGTGAAATCACTTATCGCTTAAAAATGTATGCATTTTGGGTGCAATAGAGCTGTGATTTTAGTATTTGTGAGTAATTAATAGAAAGTTGTCTTCTCTTT